AGAAAGCCTCTTTTGTTACGCTACCGATTTGTTATATCTCGCCGCGCTTTTCCGAGATATACCTGCTTTGACTCCCGTAATTGTTCTTTCGAATCGGTGGTTTTGTTGTGTATAAAATGCTTTGTCACATAAATCTGCTAAGTTGCTCTTTACACTCAGTTATCTCTTAGCTTTATCACTAATGATCTACATTCATTAGCGCCATTAAATTGATTAAGAATGAGTCATCGCGTTTGATGTTTGAGTAGTATTCGTTTTAACAAAATAAATTATGCCTATCATAAATTTAACATTGTTTTGTTATAATGGCTAGTTGAGTCGGTTCAAGTATATCATGTGTTAGATGCGAAGCCGTATTCGCCACGCTCGGCTGCTTCCCCGGCCGTTCAACTTGCTGTTGTGCTCGGTTTGCAGTTTGCTGCTCGAGAACCGTCACTTCCTACATTCTTCTAACAACATACGTTGTTACTTATAACAGTACTAACATAATTGTTGATTTCACTCAATTATGGAATAGAGAAATTTTGGCTCGAAATAAAATTTTAAGAATACAACTTCATTGAATTTTTTATCTAATTGTTAAAGTATGCTATTTAATTGGCTTGTCCAAACTCCGTCCTAGCTTTGATTGGATGCTAATACCCGATGTTTGAGGTGAACCTATCGAATTGTATTTTTTAAAAACTTTATCACAAGTATAAAGAAATAAACAAAAAAAAATCGGTGCACTTATTCCACAGTTACGGGTTTATAATTATAAACGTCTTGGTTGTCCATACGTATATATATGGAAATTTATTGAAAGGTTTAAAGAGCCCTTTGCGTACTAAAATTTTGCCTTAATAGGACGGAACCGTAGCGGCTTATAACCGCGTAGTTTGAGAAACGAGTCTCGGGACTGATTTTTACCCAATTTATGTTCTGGTTTTGTATTAGTCAGTCGTAGTTAGTAGATCTTCAAAATACTACATCATTAAAACAAAAAGGACCTTTGACTGAAATTAAAATATAACCAATAAAAAAATCATAGTAATAAACGTAAAAATTGGTACAAATAAACGTAATACTCGCCTAGATTATTATTATTGTTCGTCATACTAGCCACAAACGTGTGAGATACATAGAGGTTGACATACTTACTGTGTGACAATTTTCGCCATAAGGGGTTGTTCTCTACCTCACGATGACTCGGCGGCCGCTCGTTACTGTCTCACCTGTCCCACACGAGCCATCCCCACACAAGCTTGATGTTACGTTACCACTAATGATCTCGCGTCAACCTATATTTTTACCTTACCCTCACTAAATAAAATAACTGATATTTTTTCTGCTTAGTAATCTAATGCTTAGCTACTAATTACTTAGCTGCCTCTGTATACACGCAAAACAGTATCTGCAGTTTTTTACATTCATTGTGCTAGCAAATATGCATATGATGTAAATAGACTTTTTACTTCGGCGCCACTATTCATCCCAGTTCATTGTTCTTCGAAATTGCTCTCCGCTGAGAATAGTGCTTTTGGGTCTAGCTGTTAGTTGCTTTTTTGCCCGACAATGTTACCTAAACAATATAAAGATATTTTCACGGCAAAATTTGGTTAACTGGTTTTTCTTGAAAAATCAAAAGATTTTGACACGAATAGTAAAAATATTATTATTAATTAATGGAAAATACATCTGAGACAGTAAAGGCTTGTGTCACAAGAGATAATCGGATAAACTTTCCTGCTTAAATTATATGAATAATATAAGTTCATCAATCATTAATGAACAAAATTCTTTTATGTTTGACTATAACTGTGACACAGACAATCGTAATAATTAACTGCCAGTTGAGCATTCATAAAGTACTACAGGGGGTGCATCATTTTTTTGCAATCAGGAACATTTTATCTGGTTTGCAAATAGATAGCCGATAGAATGATAAAGTGTGTTTAGCTGTATCTAGTTGTTTACTCGACAGCGGTAAAAGGTTTGCGAGTCCCTCGCGGCGCGGGCCCGCTTGTTTTCATTTCGTTATTTACTTTTAATTTGGCAGCAAGCGGATGATGCGGTGGGTGGGGGCGTGTCGTGTGAATAATTGAGCCGACACAGAGTCGAGTGTCGGTCCGTCAGTGCACTCTGTAGTGAAGCAGCATCACTGCAGCCGCAAGTCATTGTAAATGACTGGTTCCAGCAATGTTTTAATGTATTACTACTGCTTAATGAATAACATGATTTCCCGCAGCATCTTTGTGCCAATGCTATCATTACATATTATAAAACAAAGTATCATTCTCAGTCCCTATATCACTGTGTATGCTTAAATATTTAAAACTACGTAACGCATTAAATTGTAAAGAAATTTAGTATCAGCTTTGCACGCCTTCGAAACCGGTGCGTGTCGCTAGTTTTTAAATAAATGTAGGTAATGACGAAATAAATTAATTTACGTGAAATTTTACCCGAGAAGTGGAAATGGTTTTTAGTTAATCAATTTTTCTCAATATTGTTTAAATCAACCCTAGGGCTAAAGCTCTTTTTTTGTAAATTCTAAAATTGTGCAGAGCACGTGTTCCAGTACCCTTAAGTTGTAAGTAATATATTCACACAATACTTTCTATTATTATTTATTTTGGTTCCTAAAATAGCAATTAATTATTTAGGATTCAAATAGAATTTTCAACAAACAATGAACTGAAGTTTAGTTAAATTGTCAAGTAAAAGAAAGTTAATTACGTTCACTGGAATGACAGTTTCTGTGCGGAACCATTTCCTAAAATCTTTTGAATTTCGGAATAATTGATGATGTTAACTTCTTCCGTTTTACTGTTTGTATAGTTCTGTTTTATTTGTATTTACCCAGATATTGTCCATTTTTTACATAATGTACTTATTAGTTTACTATCGACATATCAATATCTGATGTGAATAAATGTATCTAGCAGAAATTTATCATAATACTGAAACTACTAAACAGCCGCAAAAAACCCTAAAACTGCGCAGATATCTGTAAAAAAGTTGATAAATTATAGAAAGAAAAATATTCAAGTCATAATCGTAACTAATAATAAAATTGATTCAATGTTAGTCGTCATTTATGTCAAAACAGGTCAACTTAAACATTTTGCACTATACTTCATTTAACTTTCACGCGTATAATTTAACTGATCAATTCTATACCATTCAGCGCAAATATTTTTAATATCATCTTGTTTTAAAGTGTTATATGGAAATGAAAAACCGCGCTTTCGAGGTCGGGGGTGCGACGACGTGGCTCGCGTGCTGTAAGACATTAGCTCGCTGACTAGGAGTTCACGGGGGGTTGGCTTTTTGTCTCACGTCTATTAATACCAGTGTTTATAGCAAATTAATTTTCGTACTATATATAAGATATATATATATTTAAATAGGAAGTGCCTACTTAGAACATTACATTAATTGTATCATCAAATGTCATTCCCTTTTACACTTTTTACTTTGTGTTTTAGCAAAGGTATGTATAAGTGTAACACTTGTAACACTTTTCATAACAGCATAGGACGGATGAAATCGAAATATTTTCCAAGTTTTATCATTGCTTCGAAATACCTCCAGGGAACAGTCTTATAAATTGGATTCAAGTTTGAATCACGCACTTCGATGACATTGTCTTTTGAGTTTTGTTTTGGAAAAAAGTTGGCAAAGAATAAAATGACAATACCTTAATTATATTTAGGGTTTGGTCTCGCGAATTCAAATCAAACTGCCTGTAGGCCGTTAATTATTGAGAGTTCGTTAATTGTTTGGAATTCGGCGTTGTTTAGAAATTGAATGTTTGAATTATTGAAAGAAGGAGGGGCTGAAGATATAATACTAGTCACGTGGCAAACACAACGGAGCCTCGTGCATTGCAAACTCACCTAGACTAATTTTCAGGACTTCGTTCGAAAGTAGTCTATTGTTCTGTGTTAATTGCTTTACGTGATTTACTTAAATTCTTCAGTTGATTTCTTAGGGTGGCATGTACCATAATACGTGTGTGTGTTGTAGTATTCAGATTGTTTTTTTGTGACAAATTACCTAAAAAAACTAATCAAGAATGACGTTTGCTTGTGTTTCCTATTTCAAATTATTTATCGGTCTGTTTATGTATTCAAAAAGTAGGACGAAAGTAGTCTGCAAAGCTTTGTGGATGGATGCAGGGCAACCGCTGCAGCAACGGTGTTTGTTGACGAGTATGTGGGCGGCGCGAGAGGGGCGCGGGTGGCGCGGCCCGCGGCAGGTGCGCGCCGCGCCAGTTCCGCGACTCTCGCCGCTCGAACGTCACGTACCTCACGAGAGACATGTAGCTCCGACTACAGCTTGCCGGCAGTGTAGTGACTTCGGTGTTGTGTTTTGAAATCTAAGTGACAATTCTGTTAGTACAATGGTGGTGTTGGAAGGCGGCGGGGCCTTACTGGAACCGGCATTGGCGCTGGACGGTGCGGCCGCCGCATGCCTAGAACGCGCTTATGCACAGGCGGATGTTTCGCTAAAACTTTTACCAAAACGTTATATCAATTTACACCAGTGGTTATCGCCAGTGACGACATCTGTTACAGCCGCCGCTGCAGCTGGAAAAGATCTAAAGCTTCAAATTGTAAGAAACCATTTATAAATATTGTATTGTTTACCTTGAATATGTAAATACTAATGCGATTCATATTCTACTGGTTCGCCATAGGGTAAACCTGGCAAATGTGCCCCACAATTCGAAAAATTGAAATAAAAAATGGTGGTATTTAAAACAAGTTTATTAAAGTGTTTAATCCTAACCTCTGACTCAATAGGTATAACAAAAACAAAAAAATAACTTCTCAAAAGTAATTAAAATAGCTGAATCAACGATTTCTTAAAGTCTAGGGTAGGGCACATTACACGGATACATCAGTCATTTGTGCCCCAATACATTATATAGGGAAATCCGAAGGATGTCCTAACTCCGAAGATCTCTCTATATGTTGCTTGCTATCCCAGCCTTTCAGGATGTGTCTATGATCTCATTCAATTCTTGTTAGTATTGCATATGTGGGGCTAGCCTCATTAACTCCCATTTTCTTGCTTACGACATCTTCTATAGCTTTTTTCATATTTTTCTTTTTTCCGTCTTCTTGGAACGTAGCTTTTTCCTTTCTCATTTCTAAAATAAATAAAAAACCCATCAAAATACTTAAAAATAAAAATATAAAACTAATACACGTGGGGCACATTAGCCGAAATAAATCGGGGCGCATTAGCCAAAATTCAGTATATCATGCCTCACTTGATTTCAACAAAAATGTTTAGGAAAAACGAAACGCAATTGTAGTTACAAAATAGTTGAAAGAGATTAGCTATAGAATAAAACTTTACAAACGGAAAAAAACATGAAGCAAACATTTAAACTCAAAGTTACAACAGACACAAAACATTTTCAGACTATGATACTTACATTGTGACCACTTTTTTTTCGTAAAAACAAATAAATAACAGCACTGAATTGTTTACATCGACGCCATACTTCTGTCACTAACCTAAACGGATAAAATTAGCAACAAATTCAAAATGCATCTGTAAGTTTTGCGAGTGGGGCACATTATCGACTGGGGCACGTATGCCTGATTTACCCTAACAAAAATGGTTTATTAAAGATCATTCTACTACACTACATATCATCTTGTCTTTAGCAGAGCTTTTAAGAACTAAGTCGAATGTCACCTTGTTACCAGTGACTTCATAACCTTAAAAGTTCGCAACAAATTACATGTTACATCTGAGTTATGCAGTTCCCTCCATCCATAGATTTCATGCAGCTAATAAGCAATCAATAAAGCCAGTTGTTAGTATTTATACATACACACTACTACTAATGTTTGTATTTACATAATTATATTGGCCTACCTGCTCTCGTTTCTTGTAGGTAAACAGGATCAGGGAACGAATACTCAATATTATTTAGTTACGATGCAAGTTATAAAAGTATATAAGATATAAGTTATAACAGTAACAACGAGATTATACTTTTCTAAGACTTAGTTTTTCGTAAAAATTCAAAACAGATAAATAGATAATTAAATGATTCTTCATAGATACTTAAACGACCTTTCAAAAAACTTGATTTTGAAGTTTTTTTCCGTTTGCAGCTGTAAAATTAGGACCGATTTTCGTCCTTTTAGTGCAAAATGCAATCTAATATTGTATAACGAATAAGCATCCTGAACTAGCTGTTATGTCTTCCGAGTAGTACTTTTCGTTCCAAACAACTTAAATAATGTTAAATTGTTATATTTGCAATCATCAAATCAATTAAATACATTAAGAATGCTGAAATATACATTATACTTAAGCTTAAAGATTATTCACTTATCGAGATGCGAAAAATAGATCTTTGTTCGACAGACATGAACCAATACACAATTAAGGGTAAAAACTTTTAACTACTTCAAGTAGTTCTTTTATAATTATTTATTTATATTATGAAAGTATGTACACTTGTTATAGTGTCAAAATTGATCCACATGAAGCAAAAAATTAAGTATATGCAAGTGTCTTTACTTCTTAAAAGGATAAGAACATGTTTTTTTTAGGTTTCTTTCGATTTGGCTCACTTTTGGATAGTACCTACATAATATGCTGAGAAGTCCTTAATTTAGTTACGTAATGATAGCGATCTCTTCGCTGGTCTGCACTTAGCAGGTTTCTAAACATATCCGCACTCCAATTCAACAATAGACAGACTAAGCTAAATTAATAATAAGGCAATGAACACTTATAACCTATTTGGAAACATCTTACGATTCATGAAAAACTTGGTAAATTCTACTTTTTATAATTGAAATGATTTGAAATATGCATTCTTTTTGTATTCGAAAGAAACAAATTACACCTAACCAATAATGTTAGTTTTGATTAAACAGTCGAATCTGTACAAAATCCTATTTTATGCCTAGGCAGGAGATATCTAGATATCTCATTGCTTACAGTAAAGCTTTAGGTGAGGCTTAGAAAATGGCTAACGCAGTTGCCACTTTCATTATTGCAGTTATGTGTTACACTGTTTGATTGCCCCGCTAGTCCATTGTTCCGTGAACACGACTGGTCACAAGGCCAAGTATTCGATCCCTGGGGTAGAAATAGGAGTACTAGCAGTTTTTCTGCATCTATTTTCCTACATATTTGTCTTTCAAAAATTAATTGACCAATATTTGTATTCGCTATGTCTTCACCCGTTGTTGGTCTCAAGTAATAAACGGCGAATAAGTTGCCATGCCCATGCCAAAGGATGAAGAAACTTTTCTTGTATTATTCGTGAAAATAACTGACCCAGGGCGAGAGAAGTTATTTAATGATTTCCTCACCTCGAAAAGAAAAAGAAACAGTGCAATAATAATTTCTTGCTTGTGTGTTTGTAATTCATGTACACGGTGCTAAGATGTCACTGCGTATGTAACCATGATCCCAGCTACAACGAAAATTCTTCCATATAATAATCTCCCAAAAATATTTGGATGCATGGTATTAAGTAGCCGACTTTGATATTTAGATAAAAAGCTTTAGGGAAATATGAAAATTCTTAAGAATACGTAAAAAATTTTGTGATTTTATCACGTTATTCGGTTTTGTCATTGATTGGTTGACTATTCAGTTGCAGGTTGTTGTTTCTGGTACTTGTTGCAGGTGATTTTGATGGAATGGTTATTAATAAAATAAATTTAATTTTCTATAATTACTCGTGAATACACCTGGTATGTTAACTTGATTTGTGTTACCGTCAATAAAAAATAATTTCGGTACACTTATGGCACAAATTGCAATTTTTGCAAAGGTTAATGCATTGCATATGGTTGAAAGGTGATAACATTGCAGTAAACAGTTCACTCCAATCTATACATGTAATATACAGTATAGTTTTCTGCAGTAGTGTTATTATATAGATGAAGCAACTAGGTACGAGTTTCTGTTCTTATAAAATTATCCATAGGTAGGCGAATGTAGTCTGAAGTCCGGAATCGTGATGCAAATGATTTTCACCTTCATGCTTCGGAAAGCATAAAGCTCTTCGCCGTGTGTCGCCCTGTTGTATTCTTCTGGCGTGTGCATTACATTTACTTATTATTTTCTTTCCACGGAATTGCTGAGTTATTGTGAACAAATCAATTAAGAAAAGGCCTTAGTATAATGAGTAAGGTGATAAATAATTTAGATCATATTATTATTAAGAATTCATATATTGATAATATTTTTATGGTTTAAGAGTAATTAATGTAAGATGTAGCAGTACGAGTAACCAACGCAGTCGTGGTTGATATAGCCGCGAATTTCACTCGCTATCAAAGTAGACGCGGTGGGCCGCCCGCCGCCGGCCATATCACATCGTCCGATCTTTCCGTATTCATCGCTGCGCCCGGAAATCGCTAAATGTAGAGATACTCCAACCAACCGCCTTACCTCCTGGCTTTTTGAGAGTTCACATTTAACGTAGAAAACTTACATTACACAAATTGAAAAGTCTTTGTATTTCTACGTTATTCATAGTGGCTTCCTTATAAACTGTAGTGAAATAAAATTCGACAAATAAATAACTGAAATAAAATCGATGTGCATTTAGGAAATAAACGATTTTCTTGATCAAGTCCTAGTTTCGGTCGTAGGGCTACGGGCAGGGTACGCGACTATGCGATGCGTACAAGTTGGTTCTCCGCAGCGTGCAACGCTCGCTTATTTGCGACTTCCTAGCTCTTTTGTTACGCTCTGTCGCCTGTGTCTGCTTTGAAAAATTGTAATGCAGCGGCATTGTAGACGCGAGCTGCTGAGATTGTGCACGTAAACGACCTACCTATCTTTATCACGCCACTGCGTCGAAATTTACGTTCTCTGGAAATGTGTTTTAGCATTGCCGAAATTAAGATACAAAAATGATCGGTACTTAATCATTTGTGGTGAAATACTTTCGTTGATTAAGAGCATTTGCACTTGCCAATCAATGTAAATAACTTAAATTGCAAACCATTTATTTAGATTTCTTAGTACAATGAGGAGGACGGTAAGCTTTTGTTTCATTCAGTGAGGTATATCAGTTCGCACTTAATTCAATACCACGGTTTGTTTCTTGGCAGTTAAACCTACTAGTTTAAACTCTATTTTTGCTATGTGTCTCATGTTATTACAGATAAGTATTTAAGTAGGTTCGTTTATTATGTACTAGCTCCCGCCTGCGGTTTCGCCCCTCTGGTGTATTGATGAGATGTAGCCTATGTGTTAATACAGGGTATCACCTATCTACATAACACATTTTAACAAAATCGATCCAGTTGTTTTTGCGTAAAAAAATTATAAACATACCTACATTCCTACCCACATTCTCAAAAAGTGTCACATTTATAATATTAATAGGATTTACTTATTTACCATTCATCTATGTAGTGGTAGTGTGACTATTTTGTCAAGAAAATTGACAGATTCAATAATTGAAACGGAATATTAAACCCGATTTTACCTGAGGTTTGTAAAATATGTCTCTCATAATATGTGGATACGTGTATGTGCAAACACAAAGACGGCGAAGGCGAGGGCGGGGTACGAGCTGTGGAATACATTAGCCGCCACTAGCGGTGTCGGCGTTCTTACCCCATAATATATTTCACTGGCGGTCATTTTCGACAATTAACCACATAAAATAAGTGAAATTATGCATGCGGCCGACGACGGCGTATATCACGTCCAGTTACGGGCCACGATACCTAACTACATTCATTATTCAAAGAAATGTTTCGCTCGACCAGGTCGCGTCCGGAAGCGCCGGCTCTGTTCGTGTGATTGATGGAGACCTCTTTATTTTAAAGTTTTTTTGTTTAATGGCTCGTTTTGTTGTTGTTCGTCAACAATAAACCGTTCGCTTGTTATAACGATCTTATTTTGATAATTGTTCACAATGACTTTCATTAAATTTCACTGCATTGAAAAGTACAGATTACGTACAATTTCTTTTAATCCAAACTGAATATTGAGGGATGAAGGGAAATATCATCTGATGACATTTTTCACCCTAAGTGGGATGAGAGAGTGATTCTTAAAGACAGACATAAAATCATCCCGTGCCTTCTCCTGCTCTAAGCCTGGTTCTGGTCCGCAGACCTGCATTAATGTTGGGTAGAGCTAAATATAGAAATGTTCGGCTTACTTTAAGAATAGACTTCATAGTTTCTCTCACGCCGAACCACGGTCTGAGCCTATGGTGGCAGTGTGCCTTACTTGGACTGAGCACCAAGATGATCGGCGGCGCGACGTCCAGCCTTAGTCGGGTCCATGGTGCAGAGCGTGTGGATCTAAGAATCCCCTGCCGCCGCAGTAGGAAGAACTCCGGGCGTAGCGTAGGATATGGCGACGATCTTCAGCCTTCGTAAGCGCAGGTCTGCGGATGCCGACTGAGTTCTACGCACGCCTCGGATAGCTAATATGTCCAAGTCCATCAATAGGGTTGATGTTCAGCCGGTGTTGTGGGTCAAGCGCCATAGTGAACTCCGGCCTCAGGATGGAGCAGGAGACGAAACAGGGTGATTTTAGTCAGTAAATCTGACACTCCGTCTAGCCCCACACAGGACAAGAAAAGTGATCTGTCGATTTTTTTCGTCTAAAAAATAGGGCAATTAGGAAAAGAACAATGGCCACTTCCCATACATTGAAAAACCTGATAGTGAAAGTATATGTATAGCTATAAGATATAGTAGAAATAATTCCTATAAGTTTAGAAAATAATGTAATAAATTCATTTTGGCGATTTAAACGCCACAAATTCCGAAAAATATTAATGTTTATTTTTAGGTTAGGATTTGCTGTCAACAGAAATGATAATTAAACAAACGTGTATGAACTTATTAACAACGCTCGAAGTTTATTCTAAAATAGGAATATCTTTTACCTAAGTAATGGTTTAAAACATCTTTTCTACTTTGTTAATTCCTTGAAACCAATAATTGTAAGTCAATATTAAGACTCAATGATTGCCACTATAAAATGAGTGTCGAGTTGAGAACTGTTGTTCTCCATGACACATTACCTATTTATTTGGTAAACCAACATTGTTAAAAGATCATTTAACCCACATTTATAAGACTAAAAAAATAGTTAAATAAAGTAAATAAAACACTATGTTACAATGGAATAGTTTATTAATACTCATCATTATCATCAAGTTCTCTTATAACTACGTCATCCAGAAATGCTGCTGGAGCAGATATATTGTCTACATATGTCATACACACACGAAATAGCACAGTACACAACGACACGCAAGCGCAACAACGAAGGACTGCGCCGATGCAAATCACAGAACTGTCAACTGTCAGTCAAATGTCAAAAAATCCATTTCACTTACGGCCACTAAATGAAACACTGCATAATTAATTTAATTTAATTATTGTGTTATTTATTAAATAATTTATTTTATGCCATGACTAATAAATAAATACTTACTGATCAAATTAATTGTGAAATAACCATAAAACTCAGAAACACAGTTAAATAAAGTCAAGCAGCAAAGTGTAAAATGGAACGTTTTAAAGAAGGATGATTTGGATGCGTTCAAAATATGTTAATACGTTATGCCATAGAAAAAATGTTACGTGATTAAATGAAAAAAAACTTTTTTTCCTGCGTTTCTTCTAATATTGTAATAAGCGTAATCAATACAGAAAACAATAAGCTACATTTTAATATTTATTTCATTTCTATACATAGTCAGGTCAAAAATGAACATTGTTCTTTTTTAATACAACCGTGCTTCAGTGTGTATACTTATTTATACTGTGTTTTAAGTTACAGAGGTTTTTAAACAATTTGTTTCAAAATATCATTTTCACATTACTCTTTTTTAAATAAACATCATTTACTTTACATGCATGCGAGACCTATAACTAGGTACATATTCATGGTTTACTTCAACCGGACCTCTCATAACGTCGGATTCATTTTCTCTTGCAATTTCCTACAATTTCCGGGCAGCGTTTGGTACGTTGATGCGCTAGAAAATTATTTTCGTGTAAATCTTCCTTACAGATAACGTTATTCATTGCGTATTGACAACATCCTTATTACTTTTTGTTTGTATACAAATGCTATATGGGACTCTGAACATACATACCTGCAGAGTTATTGATGGTCTTGGATGAAGAATACTGTAAACATCAACAGCTTCAATCACAACTGATATTATTTACTTCGATGTTTAGCGGATCAGGATCAATATTTTATTATAATATCGAAATATTATTGTAAGGAATATTGAATTGCTAACTCTTGCAAGCCTCATTACCGACACCCGATTCGATTATGAAATTTTCGGAATTGACATTTTAAATAAAAATTGCACTGATCTAATGATATTTCAATTGATAAGCCAAATGCTATCTGTAATTCAAGTTCAAGCACGAGATCAACGTCCTGTCATATATGCCGACGGTGCGGCCTGGTTGCGTAACGCAACTAGGCCGCGCTCGACGCGCATGCATGCCTCGTGCGTGAGCCTCCATCGCTTCTCGCTGTTTGAGTTGTTATCGAACAAACTTGTTCGCTCATTTACATGAGATTGTTCAGTTTTACATACTGGATTGTCCACATAGTGTTGGTTTAAAGTGATCAGGTTTGATCTCTAATAGTATAATAATAGAATGTATAACATCTCTCAACGACACGAGTGTTGAATGGGCTGCAGTGTGCTCCACGTATGACTGGTGCTCCCGCATCACCTTGAGGTGAGCGTGAGTCAGCAGGCGCACGCACCGGTGTGACGGCAGCAGGTCGAGAATAGCGTGCGGTCTATTTAGGACTCCTCTCTGTTTGTTTGCCAGCGAAATGTGTCATTGTTAACTAATTTAAGTAACAACCACTGCCAGCTGTTACGACACCGATGTGTAGATGCGGTTCACAGGCGAACTTCGACATGCTTAATAATATTACCATGTCATTGTAAGATTAATCTCAATTATTTATACAACACAAAACAAAACAATACGTCGGTGTACAAAAAGCTCATCTTTTTCAAGTCATATAATATATTACGACTAGAATAATTCACGAACTTTAGTAACGGTAAAAATTTTGACGGGTTTATTGCCTCGTCTTATTCTCAAAACAAGTATAGGTAGCTCATCACTCTTAATCATTGTACTACACAAATACATATTTTTCAAGTAAATATCAATAAAATGGGAAGGACTTAGGATTTCTTATTTAATTTAAATTAGCAATTTGTATGCATAGAGCGTTACTGCCCATAACGAACTCAATAATGAACGCTCTTTAATTTTTCAGTGAGGTAGGCCAAGCTAATAATTTATTAATTAATATGAGTACCGTCGGCGCTGTCATTTCGATAACCGGCGACATTATCGCTGGAGAGTTACGTAAACATCATAATGTAAAACACGATACCGTTTAGCCAGTTAATTAATTGCCGTGACCGGGACTCTGGAGCGGAGAGCGAGCGGTGGTCGTCGCGAGCTTGTTATGGAAATAATGAGTGCGACCGCTGCGGGCTGCGCACCCAGCCACCCTCTGTACAACTTGTTCCGCGCTTTCGTGCCTACTCCGACTGGTTGCAACTATTGGATCCCAGCTATAGTATATGTTGACTATAGACTGCGACTTATTTCTGCAAAGTATTGGTTCGCACAAATAAAAACTAAAATACATCTTTACACCTTTAAACCACGATGTAATAGGCAGAGGCGCTCTTGCATATTAAACGTTATTCTCTTGTAATGTTACACTACACGGCTGACTGTTACCACTGCCATAATAGAACCAGCTTTTAACATACGCCGAGCATTAATCTAGCCTTCGTGCCGTTATTGAAAATTCAAAAAACCTAACTAATACCGTGCCTCACCCAGGAATCCTTACTTCGCATTCGCGCTTAAGAATTTTTGACCAACAAGGCCAGTGCTTTCTTACAATTTTTTTTGAGAATAACTTGTACAGAGAGCGATCATGCTTCCCGAAAACTCGTGTTGTGTAACTTATTGTCGTTTTATTACATGGTGCGACTGTAGGTAGGTACTGCTCTAAGAAATGAAGACTTAACCGGAATGTGTCAAGCCATTAATGAATCAATTTCTTCGTCGGGTAAAATGACATGATATAAAACATTTCCGTTTGGCACATGGGTTTATTGGGGTCGTGTGATTGAGGTAACCTGCTACGAGACGTGTCACTTGATTTAATTAAGAGCCGCTTTACCGCCCGTTCCTCCAAGCTAAAGCTTATACGGCGCCCCGGTTAATTTCGAACAGAGTCATTCGGCTAGAGATTTATTTCAATATTGAACGTGTCTTACGTTAACTGATATATTTTTCACCTTCAACTTCATTGTGTTTATACCCATTACGTAACGCAAACAAAAGAATTATTGAAAAGTAATGTAGTTCTGGCCATATCTTTCAATTGTTATCTTTTTAAAAATTTATTAACTTCCGTTTTTTCTGACAACAACCAGGGAAGAATGGAAAGGGTAAGACGGCTAACGAAAGGTGGAATTCCTTAAATCCTCTAGTGATTGCATCGTTTAGTCCAAATAGTCCTCGTATTTCAACGCAGAATCTCTGACTTACAATTTAACAAATTGAATCCATTTGTTGGAGGTGGGGATCCTACTATTTTTATCTCAGAGCATAGTTTTATATTTGTTCCAGGTTTTTTTTCAACATCCGTAACTATAACTATTAGTTGCTAAAATGTATTTAATGTTATTTTTACAAATTGTTGTCATTGGCTAGTTAATTTAGAGGCAATTCACATCAGCGTTACTTTTTCTATGTATGCTCAAGGTTTCAGAACTACGCAACTGATTTGATGAGGTCTTTTTAATAGATAGGAAATTGAATTGAAAATGATTGAAGGAAATTGAGGAATGTTAAATTAAATTTTGTACCTTAAGGAAATATACTTCTTACCACCTGAAAAGACAGCCATTTAACAACTAGGTTGACATACCTGAGACTGTCTTCAACCGCTACTTGTGGAGACGGCTGAGCACACAACTGTTGGCAGTGCTAACGGCGACGAACAACCTTCTCGCTAAAGCACTATTGCCCCGCGCAATCCTTACCATCAATAAGCTCTACTGTCATCGAGTGAATCCGCAAAAGTATTATTGTTCAATTTAAGTTTATAAATTACTCAATTTTTGTTTATAAATTTTCAATTTTACTTTTTTTTCTGTGTAATAGAATATTGTAAAGACTTTGTAATTTAACATATTATAGGTAAGTATTTACATTGTATGTTCAAGGAAAAAACTAAGAGCTAGGTTATTTAAACTAAACTAAGAGTTCCTGTAAAGCTTCAAAGATTTTTTTTACGTTATATCTTAAAATAATAAATATTTTTTTAAACGGACTCACACTTTGTTGTTCTCAAAGTTTTCCTGAAAAGAAAAAATATGAAGTAATATGTAATTAGCTGGAATTTTGCAAATTTTCTCTGTTGCCATCTAATGCGCTACTCGTGTTGGCCGTCATCACGCGTCGCGGGAGAAGTTCGTTATTAATTCACCGCCTTCCAACTCAACGGACACTTTTACCCACTTAAAGCTTTACTTTTCGTGAACCAAGTATCATTTTAGCATATCGAAAAAGAAAAATCCTATGTATGTATGGAATGCTATAAGTATTTGTTCTACGTTATCATTTTTGAAAACCTCGGCGTGTATCATTATTTTTTCTATAGCAACATAAATTAAGCAATTTTATCTCCTAAGGGGGTGGTCGAGGTGCTTAAATGTATATATGCATTTACTTCATTTTACATTAGATATTTTTTACTTAACATTATTTGTACCTTAAAAATGTTATATGCGTATTCGTACTTATGGGGTACACAGAGACACACGTGCAACGATATAAATGTAGTGTCAAATCTTTATGGAATGGACCTGTTCCGCGTCTTGATAATTCAAAAGCTCAAATTAAAATGCATTCAGTCTTAGTGATTATAATGTTCCACAATCGGCAATCACATGGTGACCAAAAAGCGTCCACGCGGTGTTGATTGTGACATTGTCTGATGCGGGTGGGGCGCCGCCGTTAACACCCGCGCTGTGCGGGCCAGCGGCGCAGGGCGCGAACCATGGCGCATCGCGACTGCCACCCGCATTTGTGATGCAAATTGTTGCGCCCGCCGCCGCAGCGCCTGTGCTTCACACCTTACCTGCTGCAACCACTATAATTATTGGGAAAAATATTCATTTGTAGCTTTTAGACCTGCATTAACATAATGTTGCTTTCGATTATCACGTCTACACCTTGTTTCCAATGTATTCTACAGCAATTACATCTTTATGTATTATAAGAAAAAATACCCCCTTAAAATTGTAAACAGATATCAGTGCCTAGTGAGCCCGTTAGCTATAATCGCGGGAATTCAATAGCTAACTGAAGTATCTGCAAGAAGTTCGTGTGAAGTTTCGTGAGAACCTAGAGCAGCTCGGCATTCGACTGAACGTTATCATATTTCAAACGGTTTCGCAAAACGAATAAATAAGAACAGAGGCAAGAAGCGTGCGGTGAAACCGAGTCAAAGCGTGGGTATTAGAAACGCTCCGATTACCACGCTGAGACAAGACGTTGCCGCCGCCACCACCACATCCCTTCTCTATTCAATTCTTAATAATCATACTTTTTTCGTAGTATCAGTCATTCACAAACACATTCATTCACAATCAGAAAATATGTAATAATTGAATACATACATTAGATAATTTGTAATTAGCTTAAAATTAAGTAAAAGCTTTTAATATTGCTGGACTTTTTTCATTAATTACGTATAGTAATAGATTTTTTTCCCAGTAACGATGGTTTCCTATTTCAAAAATAGCTGTTAATTTAAGCTGCACTTAAAACAATTTAACCAAATTTTTTTATCCTTTATCTTTATCTGGTGGGCCTTCTTTTCATTCAAATTTAAAAATAGATGCTTGTAACTGTTATTCAAAGCCCTCTCTCACTCGATGCGATTTTCGTTAGCTGATAATATGTGTTAAGCTTCAATTGAATTAATATGAAATATTATCATATTTAAAAAGAAATGAAATTGTTTATTTCTTATGTTAATTATAAAGAGGTTCTTTTAGTATTTAATGACTCATTCATTGAAATTGTCATGAATGTAGGTTATACTAAAAGAAAGGTGACGAGGTGGCGGTGTTGGACACGGGTACCGCTGCTGGCTTGACCGCGTTCCACTAACGGTACTCACTCCGGAGTATTTCTCCGACGGCGTGTGGCACACTTCATGCGTACATTCACCTCGCCCATCTCGCTGTCTCCACACTACCTGCGTAACGGCACATTATCCTTGACTAGCTAGAGTAGCCAAACTTAACTAATCGCCAAATTTGTCGTGCAATAATACCTACTACTTTTTATTCATTCTTTTGTGTGCACAAGTTCAACGGTTTAATAGCTTTTTGTTTGATTTAAATAAATGCAAATCAGTATAAAAGGAAAAATTATAACACTAAGGTAATATTTATATGTATCTAACTTTGTTTTGATACTTTGACCGTTTACGAGAAAGTACAATATAAGTAATTTCTGCATTATAATTTACAATAACCAGCAACAGCAACAGAGACGAACTTTACTACGGTAACTTAGTATAGCTTAACTAATGAATTCGGATCAAAATACCGTTACAGGTTGCCGAACTTGTTTGGTTGTTGAAAAAACTTAATTCATACCAAAAGAGAACGATAACTATTGTGTGGCCATGCGCAGTGTGGTAGATGTAATGAGTACTTCGTGTCCATCTTTTGTCCCGTTTAGATTTATTTTTATGCAATTCTTTACGTGCTAGGGATTTACTAGATCCTATGTCAATGCACTTTCAACAATTTCGTAGAACTATACAGTTATGGTAAACGTTTTTATATTCCGCTATAGGTTATAAGCTACATCTTCGTCAGTCGTCTGAATAAGTTAAGCTAAGTCATTCCTAAGGCGTACAAGGAGTACAAACAAAAAATATAACATACATTAATAAATAGGGTACCTTCCCCAAGTTTAACAAAAGTAGGTAATCCTGCGATATCAATTTTCTCAAGACAAGGCTTGTCGCTAAAATAAGTTGTCTGTGATAACTGCAGAATTAGGAAGCTATTTCGCTGTCCCTCTACCACGTCAAGCGGCATAATTAGATTGACTTTGCTCATTCTCCTTTCGTTTATATTCTGAAAATGGAATTTTAATATCTTAGAATAATTATTTTTTGCTTTGCTGAGAAACTAAGTTTCAATGCCAGTGTTAACTAAATTACCCGGGAGAGAAGCTTAATAACGTAATAATAATGTTAAATGCAGTCATATCCTTTGGAAAATTAGATGGTGTGTCGTAATTCCTTGCACGAATTAGTTTACACCTATATCGGTAGTTTGCTAAGCAAGCGGGTCGCAGTAAAAGCCCGGAGGTCGTTGCGTTAAGGGTTCAGTTAGCGCGAAATTGGAGTGGAGGTGCGACCCACGTCCTAACGTGCCACTTCATTATGTTGGCCTCGTTGTTCGCCTGTGTCCATACCATCACTCGCGTCTTATACACTATCTACATCATTTTCTTAGACGATGTGATAAATTTGAAAATGAATTTGATTAATATTTAATTCAGACATATTTAGGAGTAACCGAAATAATTTTAAATTGAGTAAGAATAAGATATAACTAGGTATATTTTTCAATATCACCGTTCTCAGAAACATTATTTTTCCTAACGTAGCCCAAAATTAAAGTGTATGAAGGTGAATTATTGGTTTTAGGAGAATTATTTCTTGCAGTGTTATAAAACGCCGCCCGTTTCTTGCGTGCGTGTGATTACATTGCCGTATAATATATTCACATTTTCACCTTCCTTCGCATCCTTAATGTTTCGTTTCATTCTTTGTTTATTGTGTACCATAGCACTGGTGCTATTTAATTTCTTTGTTTGTACGGCTATGAACAACCATGCGGTAAACACGTTGTTTAGCACCGTAGGTACCTAATGCACATAGTACCTTATTCTTAGCAATCCAACGAACTTGTTCTAAGTAGAAAATACTCATGCTTTCCATGCTGTAAGATAGCTATGTATAGATTCCGGAACTTAGTACATCCTACAGCCTACGAGCTGGCGAAACGACTAAGCTACTTTTCTCGTCTGCCAAATCGTCTCTATCAGTGTGTCATTTACCAACGGATTTCTTTGGGACTTTGCCAGCGATTTTCAAATATAAATCACTTTAAGCAACCTAATTATTAGGAGTTTATTTACAAATATTACGTTATACGCAAGTTTATATGTGTGTGACTTTTTTCGCAAAGAACTAAACTTTGGTGTGATTGACATACTCAGATGTATGATGCCAGGACTTGAAAACTTAACCAGACCAGGTTGTTGGATAAACAGTTCTTTAATGTGAAACACTACGCATACAGATTATGCTGTAATCAACGCGTGTAGTGCAAGCCTTACCTCGGCCGCATGACCAACTTACTGTATTACACGTGCATTTCGGTCATTGATTTAGGACCATTACCATTCATGTCGTCTACTGGCCAGTGTTCACCCAAAATTAGAATCAAGCTCTTATTACGAAATGGACAATTGTGTGGATAAAGTTGCCACCAACTTTCTTCTTTGATATGCATCGATTTAGTTAATAATTTAAAGTTAGGTACACATAAATTTTCTCAATTTGTTTTAAACTGTAAATCCCGAAAAAAGGTTTTGCGTGTCAACTTTCTTTAACAGTTCTGCTAAAATGCTAAAAGTAAACATAACAACATTTTGTGGTTCATACCCAGGCTTGTTTGTGAAATTTATTCGTAGTTTTGGTGACTTAACTGAGCTCAGCTTGGAGGACGTGTTCGCGTATAGTAAGCGGTTATTTTAAATGTGGTCCGACGTGATCCGTTAAATCGTGATACTCTTACGAATTTTGAAATCTGCCTTGTAAGGATTCCATAAAAGTTTTGTCAACTTCCAAATGCTGGGTTGTGTCTTTTATATCCCTTTAATGGCCGGTTTGGCTTTACATACATAGAAAGGTATATTTTTAACCGAAATATAGACTAACCTATATAGCAGTATGGAGCGACACACGACCTCGCATAGAGAGGGTTGTTTGGGAGCGACAGCTAGGTGTGGCTCCGATGCCGTCGTCGATGTGATGCTCGTGATGGTGTTTTTACGATTGGGGTGCGGCGTGGCGCGGGCGCGCCTGCTAATTTTGATAAAAGCACCGTTCGACCGCACCCGACTGCCGTCGTCACCACTGCGGCCAATAAATACACGAACATAAGCGCAAATGTACATATAATATTCTTATAAACTTCTAGGAAATTCTTTATCGTTTACGCATGTATAGTCTTACACCGTTACATCAAAGCTTCCAATGATTTGTTAACGGTTTGCACTATTCTCCAATCTTTTTTGTATTTTATAAGATATTTAATTATCTTAGTATACATGTAATGTTAATCGATTTTTTAAATAAATCAATAAGTCTTGATTAGGTGCCACACAAATGGGTCGTATTTTTATCATCTTAACCCCGCGCCTCGTATATGCTATAGGAGGCGCGTGAAGTCTACAATCAAGTCTATAACTATGAATCTTGATACTCATACGTAATATATTATGTTTTAAAAACGTAAAGTTCAATTCATTAATTAGTTTTGTAATAATACCATTTTTTTAGTTTATTTAGACACCACTGACAAACGTTGAAGCAAAACAGCGTGAGGTAACCTTGACTAATTACAAGCAAGCATTTATTTTCAAACCTTGTCCATACGAGAACAGTCACCAGTGGGCACTTATATGTAGGCTGATGATGATGGATATTAATAAGTGGAGTATCGTCAATACCATCCCAATTTCAAGCTCTCAATTTAATAACCGCAATTTTATTACTGTACACATTCAACAATTGTGAACAAGTTTGGTAAAATAGTGAATTTTCAATATTCTTTAACAACATACACTATTCGTAGCCTTATTACGGAGCTATGATTTTAAATATATTTTTTTTACTGTAACATTAGTATATAGTCAGTCGATTTTACGTTATTTATAGACACTGAACGAAATTAACCTGCCATATTGAATATTGTATGTTTTTCTTAATTTATGTCTATGAAGTTTCTTGCCAGAAGGCGACTTTTAGGATTTCAAATGAGAATAATTGTAGCGTAGGTATTAATAATCAACTCAATCTGTCATGTTATTTTAGTTTAGTTTGTTAGTTTGGAAGCATTCGTTCTATTACTATTTTATCCCAATATTTAGTGGATGCTTAAGAAAGTAATTATAATTTAATATTAATAAAAATACCAAGGAGAAATTTGGGCAGGGCGTTCACAAGGTGGGCGTGTCTTCGCTCCGCCCAATCGAGCCACGCCACGCCCTCGCCCTTTGCCACCTTTCAGTTGAAAATCTGAAAGCGCTGTTTCGTGTAGGTATTCAATCAACTAAGTAATCAGGATTAAAATGGAGCCTTTGTTTTTGGCAAACACTCTCTCGCACAGACCACAAACGCCCAATGTTACTGCAGCTTAAATTCAACATTAAAAGTACAAGCAGTGAACATAAAAAAAAACAACAACGGTATTTGTTTTGTGCTATTCGACTGTCAGAAAGTCAAAAATAGTAAATTTTAAAAAGCAATATTGTACATTACGTTTGAATTTTATTGTTATTGTAATCATAAACTTAAGAGACCTCTAGGAAAATTGATTATATTCGGTCGTTGATAAGAAAAGAAATGAACATTGTCGGTCGGGGGTCGAAGCCCGCGGGGCAGATAAACTCGTTACACCAAGATACGCCACCGACGGCATTACAGTGCGGCTGTGGCAGCCGCACGCCAAGGCTCACGATATCCCTGTAATCTTATTGTGGACTCCCAACCCCGTCGTTTCCGATTCTTTCCTAAATTACCTTTTCTTGATCGACAATCTAATTCGTTCCAACATAAAACGTTTTTCTCGCAATTCATACTTTTAGTTATTTGTAAAACAGTGGTAGCAGACATTTAAGCTGAAGGTGTTGGGTTTGCATGAAGCACGTAGCACCTCGGCGACGCCGCTAAAAGCTTCTTGTTGACGTAGCATTCGATTCAAGAGGCATGAACTACGTCTTGTCCTTGTAATTGATTGCTTTGTCGCGTAATTTGTTTGTCTACGTTGCCGGGCGGAGCGTGCGATTCTCGCGGGAGCACTGAGCTCTTGTCATCTTCTTCGTAAATAATAAATTGCATCGACGGTGGCTACCACCCTGGCGTGTGTTGATCGCCTGAGAGATTTCGACCCATTAATGTGCCCCATTACAAAGTAAAAATTATCTTGAAAATCTCAGTGACGTCGTGGTGGCCCGAAGGTCCGCTTCTCATGCATGAGGGTGCGGGTTCGAAACCTGGCAAGTAATTATATGACTTTTTCTTTTTCTAGTTATGTCCATGTCCATGCATTTATGTACTTTCTTCGATCGTTTAGACACCACTGACAAACGATGAAGGAAACCTGGACTTAAAATCGCCAAACCGCCTCGATTAACTCTCAAACCTCCTCGTGAGCCTCAGAGGCCTTTGGTCAGCAGTAAGCACTTATAGGCCGATGATGAATTGTCAGTGCTATTTATTTTATTATTTAATTTCATTTATATCTATATAAAAATTGTGACGTTAAGGCGCATTCACATGCTCATCATCCCAAGTAGTATTGAATTAATTTACTTAAGATGTCTCCGTTTCCACGGTTACTCTTATTCCTGTTTCTCAGCGTGACAATGGGCTGCCGAATATTTTCCTCATAATAAACTGAAAAGCTAAATTCTAGAAAGCTGTTATTTTTTTCAACAATAATCGCAGTATGTCCTTAACTAATAGAGTACCTTATACTAGCCAGACTATGTATAAATTTTATATTACTTAAATCGTTTCACTGTAAAAGTGATTTAAAATATTAGATAGAGTCCTATCAATATGATACGTTCTATAATGCGTCTCGTTCTATAATCTAATATTGCAAATTACTTTCAATTTTGCCTAATACGAATTTTAAAGTTGGTAAACGGGAAGATTTGAATTGAACGAAGGTTAGTAGTGTGAAAAATTTTCTCTCGTAGAGTCAGTTGTGGCATTCTGTAGGCACGTAATAGTACACAGGGAGTTTACTAAAAATCAAGTAGCGTATTGTAACGTCGTGGCGGGTTGAGCCGCAGTAGCATCCGGGTTGAGCTAAGCACGACCGCGTGTTCCCTCACTAATAACCCCGTAATTGGTATCGAAGCTCGCCGCAGCTGGATTACTGAACGTCTAATTGAATGCGAGACGCTTACTCGCCGCCGCCGCCTCCACTGCCACCTTGCAGTGACACAGTAGTTCGAGCGACTTGATTTTGTTGCGGTCAAGTTGGTCTTGTTTTGCGCACGTGTACAGGCCGCGCTTATCGTCTCGCCCACAGTTCAATTACAACGTCCCAATGAATTAAATTGCCGGTGGATTCGGGACGAAGCCGCATCACAAGATCAAACGTTATTCAGTCGCCCCCCGCCTTTTCCGATCCCCAACGAACAAGAGTTTGGACTTACCCGTGGTGGCAATGTAAACTTTACGACGTTAGATAATCATTCCATGTCAATTAGCTAATGAAAAATAAAATAAGCTTGGTTAATGTACCAACTCCGTAATTAAAATTGCGGTGATGACTCGCCATCTGTTATTAAGGCGTAGCTTAAAATAATTACGTTTCTCACCTGATCATATGAAACTACATATTAGGTGTTTGGTTGCTGATAAGGCAGGTACATATGTATATGTATAAATACATATATGTACATCAATATTGTGAAAAAATAACTGCTATCCTTCTCCTAACTAACCATTATGAATATGATCTTACTCTGTACTACTATACATTATTAGAATATTTAAAATGTACATGTGTAGAGGACAGAAAGAGTGGTCCGAGCAGTGTGCTCTCTACGATCCCAGTGTTTACACTGATCACACTCAGAAAGGCCTGGATCAGAGCCAACTAATCTTTTCTCAACAGGTAGATCGTCTGCACGTTAGTAATGACATCACACTCTATACCTACCGCTCTGATTCATTTCATTCAAAACTATTTCCCGTGGTTACTAAATGTATTTTAATTTGTTTTGTAATGCATTTCGAGATGAACAAGCTTTTCATCGATTACATAATAATTTAAAAAAAAAAAACTTATTTTTCAAATCTTAAATCGAAATTTGTTATTTTTTTTTATTTTAACAATCAGATAAACTTTAAGAATGCTATCAAACTTGTGGTAGTAGCATATGCGTTGGACAGCACACGGCTTGTTATTAACTTTTTAAACGATTGGGTTAATTAGCGCACTTCACGAGGAGTCGCCCTGGAGCGCTGCACCGCGCTGTGCCGAGCAAAAAACAATAAACGATACGTTCCGCTATTAATTAAACCGCTATACGATGCACGTTTGCTTTACCAATAAGCGTACGAGATGGCACATACAATTAAAATATCTTCTTTGAACCCCTACGCTAATTGAAGTTTTTACATTTGTAAAACGGTGTCGCCGCACTGAACTTGATTCGAATATTTAAATGGTTTTGCTTAAAGAAAGACGAATACATTGAAATCGGACTTTTTTTGATTTTACTTCGGAAAATCTTAAAAATAGACCTTATCTAATTCACCACATCAATAAAATTATTTTCCGCAAATTCCCCTATTTTCCCTATTTGCTATAGGGTATAGAGCATTAATTTTTGTGAGAAAGCTATCATTAGACATATGTAATATAATATTTATAAAAAAATAATTACTTGCGTGAATTAACTGCGAAAAGCTCTAGGTACTAGTTTCAAGTCACAAAGAGACTTGCTGCTTTCTGCTGAATAGATTTTACTCTTGCTAAGGCTTTACCTTGCTTAACCTAAAAATCATCATATTTTAGCCACACGACATCAGTTTCCCAGAGTAAATGCTTGATAAGCATACCAAAAATATGTATGTAGTAACGTGTGATCTATACTCTTTCACATGAAACATGTAGTGACGGTACTGTACATGTTAAACTCATGAAAAAAAATTGTTTGAAAAACAATAGGAAGGTACTGCTGTAATGCCTTTGACAGGAAACAATAGTTGTGTTTTCTATTATTTACTGCGTTGAAATGGTACTCGGAAACATGAGATGAGAGTAATGCTTTCGCTTGTTTTTGTAGCTTTTTTATGAAAACAAAACATCTATAAAATAATCGTAATGATCCACCCTAATACTAAAGGCAGTATTTTCATAAGCTTTAATTAATTACAATATCTCGAAAGAGTTTTTCTGAAATAACATGTTGGCGTTCTTTGGAAATGACATGTTTTTTTTTTGTTTCAGCAATTGTTCCGGTCTCAACAAGCTGCTGCAGCAGGCGGCCAGGCGGCTGCAGCGCAGTTGCAGCTTTTGCAACAGCAACAACAACAACAATTTCAATTACAACAACAGTTAGCAGCCCAACAGGCTTTTACACAAGCACCTTACGTTATCAATGCTGGTCAGGAAGGTGCACCTTACGTGAGCGCTTTAATAGCGGGCGTTCCCCCATACTATGGAGTCGCGGCACCGTGGGGCGTGTATCCCGGGCTCGTAGCACAACCCGCACAACAGCAAGCACAACAACCGCGACGGCCATTGACTCCTCAGCAGGGTGAGCAACAAGTGAACGGCCAGGGACAGTATGTGATCCCCTACTACGATCCGGGCTCACTAGTCATGGGCGGACGCAACGGCACGCCCTTGCGGCTAGTGTCACCGGGAGGCGTATTAGCTCCGCGCCAGTACCAGCCAGCGCCTGCGCATCCAGCCGCTTCTGCCGCGCCACCGCAAGCAGCGCAAGCGCAGCAACCGCAGCCTGGTGAGAATCCCTTTAATTTGCATCCACTATAATACCTATCTGCCACTCACTGTTGTATCTTTTTGTGTGTAGTGACGATTTATATTACAAACGCATTGAAACAAAGGTGACTATTTATTTATTTTATCTGCGCTTTGATATTTTATATTTATGTTCATAATGCACATAAATTCCGATAAATCACAAAAAACAACGTTTCGCTTTAAATTAAAAATATTACACCAATCTGTGTCTGTTGGATAACACTAAGACCAAATTAAATCTCTTACTTACTTACCCCGTCATCACTACATATAAAAGATTGTGACAATGAGTTTTTCAAGTTAATTAATTTAACAATGTACATATAACATTTGCATTTGAGTTACCAACAAAAACTATATATTTTAGCATGGTGTTCTTAATATTTATACAGATTCCGATACTTACGTTGAGTGATTATTATTATAATTATTGTAGAATTTTTAGACAACTCGTAGCGTAACATACTAATGTTATCTAGAAGTGAAGTATTTAATAGTACTTATTTAGTTTATCTAGACCTACTACCAAACCCATGTTTATTATGTAGATATACTTAAATACATATCTAGATAGACAGATGCGCCCTTAAAACACTTGTATACTTTGAGATGTGTACAATCAGCTGCTTCATTAAGATTTAGCCCATTGAATTTTTGCATCATAGTTTTATTAATGTTTTAAATTTATAGTGGTGTTGTGTATTAATTAACTGTGTAAATATTTAATACAAACTTTCCATTTATGGCTAATTTGTGCATAGCTGAGTAATTGTGTTTTATGTAAATTTACGTCTTAAGTCCGCTATAAGGTACGAATTATTCATTCCGTGTACGATCATTTAATGTTATTTATTAATTTTGACTTTTTTTTGTCTCATAAATACGAATATTACAAACAATTTTTGTCTGAAAGTAGTATTGTTAATTAGTTTTTATGGTAACGTACATAACCGTTAGTTTATTTCACAACGGGAATAGCAATACGGTAGTTTTCAACTTGTCAAATTCAATACTTTTATCAAAATGTCAAAAACGGTACTTTTCTATGATGTATGAAAAACTGAAACCGAGAGATAGTATTTTTGCGTCAAAGCGTCAAATAGCTTACTTATTTCTTAATAATTAGCTACAAAATATCTTAAACTTACACCTGGTTTCCGAAAGGCCGGTTCAATGTTAATATTATTTTTATCTCTTGTCAAGTCATCTGATTGGTTAACTGAATTATCAACAACCAATCAGATGACTTGACAAGATATTTCACACCTAGTTAATTGATTTTAACATCGATCGGGCTTTCGGAAACCGGGCATATTAGTGTATCGATCGATCGATGAAAAGTATAGTTATTTTTCAATATATTATTGCATTGAAACGTCGAATTAATTTATTTTGACTTAGGAAACTACCCAATTGTCGTAATAGGTACTAGTGATTATTCTTGATCGAAGCGAAAATTAATTGATGAAGTGAAAATCGTAAAAGGATAGCGTATTTTTATTTAAATCATACTCGGCAGTAAGTCACGATGACGGTATTCATTTCGAAGCGAAGAATTTTAGATGATTTCTCATTCTATTCTAAATCACCCTTTTCCTCATCGTTGTTTATCTAATGCAGTAATGTTTATGAAGTAGAAGTCTAATTATTTTATTGTAACCGTATTACGATCTCAGTTTATAGTGTTTTGAGACATACCTTCTATAATTTTTCTCTAAAGTAGGAAATGAAATTAACTCACTTGTAACACAGCAAACGAACGATCGTCACAAAAGACTATCGCGTTGTTTGTAACTTTTCTTGCATTGCACCACAATCAGTACCTAATACGTGATAAATATTCTTATAAAATTACCTCAAATCTAAATATTAATAAAGTAGTAGTATTTGTCTATTTTTATGATCTAGTTTAGATAATTGCGAGAGTCTTATGATTTGTGCTTCTATAAAGGAAGATGGAGCAACATTGTGGTGGTGGTGCGTGGTTGTAGTGCACTACTAATATTACATTTTTTTATGAAAACTATTTTGGGTACCTTTTCATTGTTAGTTGTGCGTTGGTCATATGAGTGCGACTTTGTATATAAATTATAGCGACATCGACACCTCATGTCTGTAATCAAACAAATTCGAATAAAAAAATATTTACATGATACCTTTATTGAAAATAACGACTTACTCATGGGCACTAACTGAGAAAAGTGAGACTTTTATTCATGAGCAGCGTTCGAGCTGAGCCCTCTTGAAACTAGAAACTGAGTAGTAGTAGTTTTCTCAGTTAAGAAGACACACGAGTAACTCGTTTTTATCAATATATGTCTCACTATAGTTACTATTCAATATCCATTTTGATAATATCAATCATGGAGCAATTCTGCAGGGAAATAAAGCGCCGTAGTGCCATGCCATGGTTAATCCATTTGATGACTGGTAGGTTTGGTGTTAAATTGACTCTTAAGTTTTTGTGTCCTATATCTTTATTGTATCTACACGAACCCTGTATTTGTGAGTGGCGATGTGTCGGCAGCGCGTTGTCGCGTTGGTTGGCACAACACGGTAGGTCTGGAGCGCGGAGGTATGTCCTGTTGCAGGCGGTGCGACGCAGGCTCGGCGCGACTCGCTGGAGTTTGGCGGCGGCGGTCCGGCCGCGGCACTGCAGGAATACGCGGCACGCAAGTGGGGCCCCTCGCCACTATCGCCGCCGCTAGGCGCCGCGCTGGGCCCTGTGGGGCTTCGGCCAGTGTCCGCCGCACCCGGCGCTGAGACCGCCAAGTACAGGTGCACACTCGCACGCCTTGCGCCCCCGCCCATTGCGTCACCTCAAACGATTAGACATCTTTGAATAGTTTAATAAGACACGTTCATGTTATCCTATTTGTTGCGGTGGACTATCTTTGTTTAAAATACTACCTAATCTCGCGCGGTTTTACCCGCTTCCCAACTCGTATAGACCGCAGCGTGATGTTTTATAGTCTTAAAGCCTTTCTCGATAAATGGAACCAGTAGTTCCGGAAATAAGCGCGTTTAACAAACAAACAAACTCTACAGCCTTATAATATTACTTAGTATAGATTATTATTTATGAAAAGTATAATGATGAATCTGCAGACTTGTCCCATAGTAAGTGGGCAGATCTCGAGCTGGACTGGGTGATACCTCTTTTTGGTGTTACGAGTGTCCATGGACGACGCCGATAGCTTACCATTTGGTAATCCGCCTGCCTGTTAGCCGTCCTGCATAAAAAACTGTATATTGATGAAACCGAAACTTCCTAGTTTCCAAAAGTAAATTATTATTTAAGTTGCACCAAAACGGTTAATAGTCAGTTTTATATTTAATCAAAACTTCAAGCTATGTTTATCGGATGCGCGGTGACGCTTTGCGCGGAGTTCACAAATTGTATATTGTAAATACTTGTATGCCATCATTGTTAATATAAAAAAACCTCATGCGTATAAATTGTACAGATATTGCGAACAGCATTATTTATGCATGATCTTTTAGATGATTAATACCACTTCTTCATATATTCTTATGATTGCTTTCCTGAATTGTTGTGTACTTTCTTTCAGAGCTGTGAGCAGTTTAGCGCAAGGTCTCACATCAAACGGAATGTTTGGATCTTCTTCATCACTCCTCAGCAAACTCAGTGGAGTAGGAACTATATCAGGTTTGTACTCATAACACACGCACACATTGTCCACTCACTAATTTGTACATTTTGTAAATAGCTTGTAATTTTGTATAAATAAAAATGAGTTTGTGTAACGTAACAACTTTTTTTACAGAAAAATATCGTTGTAATGTTTTAACGTAACTTTATCGGTATCAATGGTTAATTATATAAACTACAGTGAAAATTATGGCGATAGAAGTTGTTTCCGTAGGTATTGATTTGTTTTTTGGACATTAAGTTATTCGTTTACAGAATTGGTGGGCGGAGGTGTGGGCGTGGGAGGCGTGAGTGTAGGCGTGGGCGGCGTGGGTGTAGGCGCACTCGTCGGTGAAAAGCCTCCTGCCGGCCGCTCGCGACTCCTGGAAGACTTCCGCAACAATCGCTTTCCGAACCTGCAATTAAGAGAACTCGCCAATCACATCGTCGAATTTTCACAAGATCAGCATGGCTCCCGGTATGATATTGACGCGCTCGACGTTACTCATTTTCAGCAGCAATTAATTAAGTCTTTGTCTTGGCCTTTTTATTATTATTTTACGATCAGCACAGAGTCCTAACCAATTTCGACTAAATCCTTTTTCCATTTAGCTTTGCAACAACTGACAGGTGATCGTATGAAAACCGGAACCGTGTAACGTGCTTTAAGTGATACAGTTAATAATAAATTTACTTAATAGATGTATTTATTAAATGATAGCTAGTATTTAAAAAAAGTATCGGTATGTTATTTTATTCTAGAGTCTTGTAATTTGTTTATGCATCATAAAAAGGTGCCGTCAATTGGGACTGGTCAGCTCCAAACTGTTTTTTTTTATGTCGGAAAACGAGCAACCGGATAACCTGATGGAAAGCAATCAGCGTTGCCCCTGGATACCCGCAAAGACGGAGGATTAGGAATTTGAGATTTTGGGAAAGGGGAGGGTTAGGGGTAGGGGAAGGGGAAGGATTGGGCCTCCGGTAACCTGACTCACACGGTGAGACCACGCTGTGGTTATTTCACGCCGGTTTTCTGTGAGGCCGTGGCCGTATCACCGCGGAGTCTTTAATTTTTCCGTTACTTTGACTGAATATTAGTGTTACCACTGATCTTACATAATGGAACAAAAAGTCTGTTTGTGAAACTGCATGAAAACACAACCAAGAAGTTTCTCTCTTTTTTTAGTTCTTCTACATCGAAAATAGGTTCACTAATAAGTCTAATAAGTCTTTTATCTCGCTTTTTTACTGCTTTTGCAAAATGTCTGTTAATATGTAGTTCAAAATCGAAGTAACACATATTGTCATATTGTCAGCCAAATACATTTCAATTATATTCTTTTATTTAATATATAGATTTTCGAATGATTAAACTCAAAGATTGGAGCTATTATGATATGAAGACTTTCACTAAACAGGCTTTTGATAAATTCACCCCCATTGCGATAATCTAAGTGATGATGGAATGTATTAGTTTGAACCTATCCTAACTACCTGCCTAAGTGCTACTAAGTGTGGGAGAGCCAAGCTTCGGCACGAATGGATCGGCTCGACCGGAGTGATACCACGGCCTCACAGAATGCGGACGTGAAAAAACCACAGCGTTGTGTTTCGCCGTGTGAGTGAGGTTACCGGAGACCGAATCCTTCCCCTCCCCCGATCCCTCGCAATTTCCAAAATCTCCAAAACCCCAATCCCTAAAAGGTCGGCAACGCACTCGTTACTCCTCCGTTACGGGTGTCCATGGGCGGCGCTGATTACTTACCATCAGGTAATCCGTCTGCTCGTTTGCTGACCAATTCAATAAAAAAAAACCTGCATTGTGGATTAACTGGGTGCGCGAATGGGGAAATTGTATTTTTATCACGAATCTATTGAATCCCAAATGATAACCCATTAGAATTTAATGATAATTTTTCCCAAAAAGTCTGATTTACCATGACAATAAACAAGTCTCCGGGAGAAACTCTCGAATTTGCGGTGTATTGACTTGAGAGAACTTTACTTCTCTAATGGACAGTTTAATGTTGCTTGGTCACGATTGAGTTGGACTAATGCAATACAATGCAATGGAAAAAAGCTTGTTAGTTAGCATCTACTGACGGATTAGTTAGGAATATTGTGTGCCGATAACAAATATAATACTTCTTAACGGTAGCGTTGCTGCGGGCAAAAACTAGTAATTTCGCATTATAACTGTAACATTAGTATCCATCGATCACTAATAAAGAACTAGATACACAATCAGTGGCAAAAAAATGTCCCAACTGAAAGTCCACCAAACTCAACATCGCGGTGTAGTTTTAGTTTAGTACCACTCGAATGCTCCGACGGTAAACACGCCTCAGTGCTCGTTAAAAAACTGCAAAAACACACACATCTAAGATGCAAAAAAGGATGGAATTTCATATTTTCGTTAAGTAATAACATTATCATTACATAATTGTCATCATTCTATTTTAAATATTGATATTTTATTAAGAAATTAACTTTAAAACTTTTTCCAAATGAAATCGTATTCAAAAACCGGGGTTATAATGCACACAGTTTATAAAGACACTTATACTAAACGTAAAATCATTCTCTAGCATGACTACTTAAGTTGTTCGGTTTACGTGGATTGATTCTGTTCCGTTTAGCGGAGACGCTATTGTTCCTAATTTTATTTATTATTTTTTTTATTAAAAAATAGTTTTCATTTAATATTATAATTCTTTACTGTGTTTATTAAAATATGGAATAGGCAGATATAATGGATTTAATTTTAACTTCAGTAAAGACATTTTTTTTAGCTTTCATCAAAATCCCGTGCGATATGAAAAATTTACAACAATAACGCCAACATTTTCAGTACTTACTTTAGATATATATTCTTTTTATTATTTTACATCTTTTTTATTTGACTTCGAATAGAAATGATTAAGGAGGACGAAAATAAAAAAAAAGAATTATAACTATATGCATTAGTTTCATTGGTAAATAAATGAACAAACCTATAGAAAAGAATACTATAAGTAATGCGTTTTAATTTGCGTATTTTCTTTTTTTGATAAATTATAAAATACGAAAGAAATATATTTCTTACGAGACATTTGGACTCCAATCATTCTTTGTCCTAGCGGTGAGCCGAAGTCGTTAAATTTTATTGCTTATTTTTGACACTTTGTAAATTCGACTTAAAAACATGCGAATTAGGTTCAATTTCTTATGATTTGTGTTTGTCAAGAGCTTCGGTCGCAAAAAGTATTAAGATTTTGTACATCACTTTGTAAAAACAACTCTGAGTTGCATTTAAGGTTTAATTTACATTAATGCATTTTTATTTCAAGTATAAGTACCTAAATACAGTTGGCGACAGTTTTGAAGCGAACTTTTGTATGGGATTGTGTATCTAGTTCTTTATTAGTGATCGATGTTAGTATCTATCTTCATAAGCAATTATCTCCAGTCTTTAATTAATGGTCATGCTTATCGTTTGACAAGATCCTTTCATTGATTGTTTTCTTTTTAGATTTATTCAACAGAAACTGGAAAGGGCAACGGTTCAAGAGAAACAAATGGTGTTTAATGAAATCATCGGAGCTGCTTATAGCCTAATGACAGATGTGTTTGGAAATTACGTCATTCAAAAATTCTTTGAGTTTGGAACAACAGAACAGAAAACAACATTGGCACAGAAGGTGAGAACAATAATTTTCTACTTACAGAATTAAGATTAAACCAACAACTCATTGGTATTCCATTGGCTAATAAGACTGCTTAAGTTATGGCCTCGTTGAAGTACTCACGAGTGCGATGCATGGTTTTGGAAGGAGCCTCAAGTCCGATTCTCGAGTATTTCAGTTTATCGTTATTTTTATGGTATTACGGTATAGCAGACGCAACACGAGAGATGCTACACTCTGCTGCGCGTTTGGGGGAACGGAAAGAAACGCTATGGTGGCTTGTGGTGGGTTTAAAATTACGCTCGGCCGTTTCACGCCGGTTTTTGTGAGGCCGTGATATCATTCCGGTCAAGATGGCTCTTTCAAGTAAAAGCATGGCAATCGGTCACTGATTTTTTTCAATCGAAACATTTTTAATTGATTTTGTAAATAAAAACATTGATAATAAAATACTGTTTTGTTATACCAGGTTCGCGGTCACGTGTTAAACCTAGCATTACAAATGTATGGATGCCGGGTTATTCAAAAAGCGCTAGAGTCAATTCCGGCTGAACAACAACAAGAGGTAGTGCGTGAGCTCGATGGCCACGTACTCAAGTGTGTGAAGGACCAAAACGGCAATCATGTCGTTAGTATACTCAGTCTTATTTATGCTACGTATTGTAAAGGTACACTTGGACATTTTTACTTATTAAAATAATGTGTTTTAGGTTCAAAAGTGTATCGAGTGCGTAGAGCCGACGGCTCTGCAGTTTATAATAAATGCATTCGCGGGACAAGTGTACGCGCTGTCGACGCACCCGTACGGCTGCCGCGTGATCCAGCGCATCCTGGAGCACTGCACGGGCGAGCAGACCGCGCCCGTGCTCAGCGAGCTGCACGCGCACACGGACCAGCTCATCCAGGACCAGTACGGCAACTACGTGGTGCAGCACGTGCTGGAGCACGGCGCGCCCGAGGACCGCTCGCGCCTCGTGGCCGCCGTGCGCGGCAAGGTGCTGCAGCTCTCGCAGCACAAGTTCGCCTCCAACGTCGTCGAGAAGTGCGTCTCCCACGCCACGCGCACCGAGCGCGCGCTGCTCATCGACGAGCTCTGCGGCTTCAACGACAAGTACGTACTCGCACGCCTACCACCACTTACATCTGTCCTCTGCCTCGCCCTCGTCTAAATCGCGTTCGTTATTTGCAGTGCTCTCCACGTGATGATGAAGGACCAGTACGCGAACTACGTGGTGCAGAAGATGATCGACGTGGCGGAGCCGACGCAGCGCAAGGTGTTGATGCACAAGATCCGGCCGCACATCGGGTCGCTCCGCAAGTACACTTACGGCAAGCACATCATCGCGAAACTCGAGAAGTTTTTCATGAAAGCGCCGGAACTGGGGCCTATCGGGCCGCCGCCTCCGAACCCTGTGCTGTAGTCTGTGTAAAGTATTAAACGTCCGCGGGTGTAGGCTGATGCGACGGCGCGGGTATCGCCCGCCTATTATAAATTTTGTGAATATTTGCGATTGTACATTTATAACTATAGTGCTCGCCGCTCCACCGGCGGGCTGCGGCCCCTGTACATAGTAGCGGCAGACTGATGTACAGAACATACGATATACTGTATACTGTAACAATAGTTGTACAGCGTCGACGCCGACTCCGGTGCTCGGCCGTCGCGTCACCGCGGCGTAGCGTTTATTGCGTTTCTAGCTCTTAAGTGTTCTAGTATTATTCGTTGTTCGTATGAATCTATGTATAAATATTTGAACGTCTCTCATTCTCGTGTAATTTATGAATCGAAGGAAAGCGGCGGTTACGGCCCCAGCGTTTCCATAATTTTAGCTCGTTGTAGATTAACTATTAGCTGGGCTAGGGGACCTTGAATCTTCTAAAGCGATAAAGAGATGCCGCAGGCAGTTCTGGACAATCGGCACTATAGTCGTGATTATTATATTATTATTTTGTACTATTCTTCAAGTCAAGCTCTCGTTTAAGTTATAAACCGGCTTTAAAATCGTACATAGCTTATCTCGTTTAGTGCCGGAATGTATAGTTCGTCGATTATAATTTTGTGAAAATGATATTTTTGTATATTTTTTATGTAATTAATTTAAGTTATTTAGTTAATGAGCCTCCGAAAATGATCGGAGCGAGCGCTTACGAATGGGCGATGCTTATGTTAGTGTAGACGCAGCTGTCCCGCGCTGCGCGTAGGTTATAGTGATGATTGTAAAGTCCTGTACTGATAGTTGTAGTCCCGAGGTCTACCTTGCCGGTCGCACGTCACAAGCGTAGCTACTCCTCATTCCCCCTGTGTAATTAATTTTTATAGGAAGCGTAGTTTCCTACGTCACCTCAAGATTTTTTACGTTTAGATGTAATTGAAAATAAAATTATTGTATATGGCTGTACAAAAATGTTAACAAAATGATTTGTAAAACCCGTATGTGATGGAATAAGGCGAGGCGTCGAGAGCGGCGGGACGTGACTGATCGCGGCTCTGTACGTCGCGTCTTGTAGGTTGTACTAGATAACATTTATATGATCCATCTATTTAGACATTAATTATAATAAAGCATTTCTGTAATAATATTACAAAGAATCTGTTGTTTTAATTAACACACCCCATTTTAAGCTAAGGTTCATAAGTTACGAGATTTTTATGGTTTTACATACAAAGCAGCTATCAAGCTACCTCAATATGGGCAATTAAAGAACATGATATGGCAAAACTAATCAATTTTGAATCTTTGAATGACTTCTCTCGATCAGGCTGAAGCGAGAGGGAGTGGCAGACTGTTACTGACTGAAAACCTCTGTTCCTACTCCTGCTCTAAGCCGAGGCTGGTGTACCTTGTTGCGCTTACCTCGCTGAACATCGGCCTTGTAGGGCCGTGTTGTAATCTATTTTTATGGCTTTGTGGAACGCGCGTGAAACTACGCTCTGCACTCTCGGGTTTGACTCTGGTCGGGCGGCGAGGGACCCCTGCTCGCCGTCCATATGTAGTTTTTTTTTTTTTTGTGGGGGGACAATCATCAAATGCCTTCTCCCGCCCTGGGTCGGGCAGGAGGGAGTGTAATGCCCGTTTTCACCAACAGCCCCCTAAAAAGTCACCTTAGTAAGGGCCACTTAACTTAGGAGATCGTTCAAATCATCCCTTAACTTAAATTTTGTTTCACTGTCCTTATGCCCGTTTTCACCAACAGCCCCTAAAAAGTCACCTTAGTAAGGGCTACTTAACATAGGGGACCGTTCAAATCATCCCTTAACTTAAATTTTGTTTCACTGTCCTAAGGGTTACCTAATTAGGTGACGTTTAGTGTTGAGGAACTATGCAAACAGTTATCGATAAATGAATCGATTAGACAATTCTATTGTTGTTTTCGTAAATATGCAACCTTAAAACAAGTAATTAACTTTTCTAACTTCAATTTATTTCGAAAAGAAGAGTCTTGAACTGGTAAATGTTAGATTAGTAACAAAAAGTTATTTTTTTATTTTTTGGCTGTATGTTGAATGCCATAGCAAAGACGCGGTGCCGGTGACATTTTGATGCCACTATCCACCAAAGAGTATGTAACGCGTGCGTTCGTGCAGCGGAATGTTGTTGAATTTAAAGATTTTAATTATGCAGATATTTAGTGTATGACGTCTTATAATTGTGTATGGTAAAAAAAAATTTGTGCACGCAACCATTGTGGAGAAATTCACCAAAAACTGATTCCGCTGGGCGAACGTTGTCCTGGCGGAACTTTTTTTAATCCATAGACTTTAGAAGAAAAGAGATGTATCCAAAAATTAGTGTGTATTTGTGTGTAATTGTGTATGTATGAATAAAACTAGTGCATGCATAAACTTCGGAGATATTCAAGTTTCCGCTACGCGAACGTTTGGCCATTAGCTAGTTTTCATATAAAGCGCTTACATAGAGAGCTGTAGATTTTTACATACGTTGTTTTGAATTTGTGTATATTTGTTTAAAAAACAGATTTAGAAAAAATCGTAGGGTTTAAAAGATAAAAATATAAACGTAAAATACGCTTATTAGGTCTTAGTTCTTAGTTCACCTGAAAAATGGAAAAAATCAAAATGGACAGTCCCTGATATGAATAACTCTAAATTGTGTAAACAGCTGGCGTTCCTTATATAATAAATGAATAAATTTTACGAATACAGTATACATACATTTTTATCTACGTTTAATCATTAATTTCTTAAAATCTGCTGGGTTTATCGTGTCACAACTTTGTTCAACAATATCTAATAACATCATTACTTCTTTGGTGTGGTCTGGAAAGTAAATCACGAAAGAATAAATAAATCAAGGGATCTTTGGAGTTTAGCCCACACATAAGTCTGTGACTATCGATACTTGAGGTACATCACTAGTACATAATAAGTACATGAAAATCAATTTACATGTATTTGTAGCCTTTTATACTTAGAATTAAATAAAATTATATCATTTAATGCTTACCGGTCCTCATCCAAAGGAAATTTCGCCATAAACATCCTTTTCTCGCCATTTTTACGACCGGATCGTCCTCCGCAGATTTCACAAGTTAGAAACCGTTTTTTTGGTGGCATTTTACTTGAACACGTAACTAGTCACAGCCGTATCACTAACCACTAATTAACTAAACAAATTATACGTAAATTTATGAAAATATGAAAATAACAACATAAACTTACAAAAACAACGACATTCAAAGTTCAAAATTTCAATTAAAATGGCCGACGGATTAGTGAAAGAAAGAGAACTGTACTGAGGGAGTGGGATGGCAATATCCGGCTACTTCCGTATGCCATTATTTGCCGTGCCAAGCCCATACATTTTTATTTTTCTTCTAAGTTGCGCTAGGCTGCTATCCACGTGACGGTTTCATTCTAATCATTTCGTGTATTTTCTTTGGTCTTTTTATTAATTACAATGGCAGAAAAGAGGAAACGTGGTCAAAATTTTTCACTTGAAGATAAAGAATGTTGTTGATCCTGGCTAGCGTGTCACCACATCAGTTATTAATAATTTTGCAGTACCTACTTATTGTTTGCATATTAATAGACATACTGCCTTTTCTATTCCGGAATAGTTCGGCATCATCTCCTCCTATAATTTATCACATAAATAAATGTAAACAAGTTTCTAGTTAATACAATTAAAAGACTTTTGAATATCATTATTAGAGTTTCATCTTAACAACATTATATTTACGCGGGTATTAACGCGGAAAATTATAATTTGAATACCTTGGTAGGCTTGACGTGACGTCGTGACATCGTCACAGCTCCCTGCATTGCAGGGAGCTGTGACATCGCGTCTTCAGTCTGCTTGTGACCACGACCTGTGCAACCGAGTCGAAACGTCAAGCCTACCAAGGTATTCAAATTATAATTTTCCGCGTTAATACCCGCGTAAATACAATGTTATCATTATTAGAGACATCACAGAAAGACGATAGGTGTGCGAACGACGGTGTTCGCTGGAGGCTCAATAAATATGGCACAAAGATCTGGCGATTGAATTTTTATGTGTGTACAGTCTATACATCCTGAAACATTTGGAAATCGAGCTATTCTGTAAAATTATTCTTTTTCTATTTGTTGTTCTTCTTCGGTATCTGGAAATTGTATGAATTCGCTTTGCCACGACCCACGATAGCGTCAGACACTCTTTTTATAATTCTACTGCAAGTAGATACACTGATGGGATTATCTGGGGGTATCTTATGAAAAAGTCTTTTTCATCATATTTTTCAAAATCTTTCGATCTTTCACGATAAATACGAGGTCGTCTATACAAATGTCGGTTACTTAACAATTTCGTATCTTCAATTGCTTAAAATCTTCAAATAAATCGTGGTTATTATCCATTTTTATTATTTTTTATCTTATTCAGTAGGATAAAATACTGTTTGGTGATTCGCAAAATAACCTAAGACTATGCGTCACTTAAACGTTACGGGGTCGTCAATTCATCCCCTAAATTATAAGGGACCCCTAATGATAATATATAGGTGACACTTAAACGTTGGTGAAAACAAAACTCGCGAGAAGTGCCCCTTATATTGGCTTAAGAGACACTTAAATTTTAGGAGCTGTTGGTGAAAACGGGCATCAGACTCTTACTGACTAAAAACCCCGTTTCTTATTCTGCTCTGGGCCGAGGTCGCGGTGCCTCATTGCACTTACCCCGCAACCCCGGTTGATAGAATGTTGCTTAGCGATCTATAAAAAGACCTTACCTGAATAGACTAATAGTTATGTTTTTACACCTATAGATATTTAAAAAAACACTTAGTTACTACATCTCGGTTCTTTTATAAGTTATATATTTTACCACTTAGGAAGCCTCGATATCATTTTTGGAGGCCTAGGTAGCGTGCGTTCGTGCAGCGGAATGTTGTTGAATTTAAAGATTTTAATTATGCAGATATTTAGTGTACGACGTCGCATAATTGTGTATGGTAAAAAAAAAATTGTGCACGCAACCGTACCTACGTAAATAGTACCTACTTTCTGTCATAGTCAAATACATTTAAAAAAGAAATGACCTATAAATTATTTCGAGATAACAAGTGTGTTATCACCTGTACCAAATCAATACCGGTATTATTCTGTAAATTTTGGGATGTTACCTAAATATATTGCACAGCCGCTTTTTTGTAGCCATCCGAACTTGGTCGGGTTATGTAGGTTTTCGATGCTTCGTCAGTTTTATAATTGTTTTTCTTTAATTACTGAATTTAATGACATGAAATTTTGCATGTGAATAGTTGAATGAATACACTAATTATTGGCATACATTTTACCATGCAATTCATTTAGAAAGTCGTGATATTTGACTGCTTTGTAAACAGCGATCTATTCATGGTAAATTTGTCCTATAACTATTTAATTACTAACGGAACATCATTGATACTTGGCAACATGTTGCAAACACTTACAAGGTTTGTATCAACGTGAAAATCTAGACCCCAAAGTTTAAGAACTAAGACCTAATAAGCGTATTTTACGTTTATATTTTTATCTTTTAAACCCTACGATTTTTTCTAAATCTGTTTTTAAACAAATATAAACAAATTCAAAACAACGTATGTAAAAATCTACAGCTCTCTATGTAAGCGCTTTATATGAAAACTAGCTAATGGCCAAACGTTCGCGCAGCGGAAACTTGAATTTCTCCGAAGTTTATGCATGCACTAGTTTTATTCATACATACACAATTACACACAAATACACACTAATTTTTGGATACATCTCTTTTCTTCTAAAGTCTATGGATTAAAAAAAGTTCCGCCAGGACAACGTTCGCCCAGCGGAATCAGTTTTTGGTGAATTTCTCCACAATGGTTGCGTGCACAAATTTTTTTTTACCATACACAATTATACGACGTCATACACTAAATATCTGCATAATTAAAATCTTTAAATTCAACAACATTCCGCTGCACGAACGCACGCGCCTAGGTATCCACAGTGCCGGATTAGCCACGTAGCAAGAGTAGCAAATGCTACGGGCCCCGCGCTCAAATAGGTATTTTGTAATTACACCACTTCAACAGCAAGACATATATGTAGAAAATGTTTTGTTTACAAAACTA